TTAATACTTGGATTAAGAATATTCAAAATAAAGATTTTGATATAGAATTAAAAAATGATATTATAGATTTTTATAAAACAGAAATGAAAGATTATGCTGAAAAGTTGAAGGCAATATATAGTCAAGAAAAATTTTTTTATAATTTTAAATACACTGATTTCAAAAATATTCAAAAAATTGGAGGTGTATTTACGACGGTATATCGCGCTAAGTGGAAATATGGTGATGGTTTTTTAGTGTTAAAATCATTCAATTTTATTGATAAAAAAGCTTTTGATGAAATTATGAATATGGTAATATTTATAAATTTACTTAAAAATTGTTAATTAAAAATTTTATTAAAAAAGTTTATAAAAATTATTAGCTAAAATTACAACGAATGATTAAATACCATCCAAATATTATACAATTTTATGGAATTACAAATATAAAGATTGGTGAGTATTACAAAATAAATTATTTTAATTATATTATTGTTAAATTTAACAAATAAATTTTTAAATTATAATTTTTGAAGATGAAACCGATAAATTTACTTTAGTTTTTGAATACGCAAATAGTAGTACATTAAATTCTTATTTAAATAAATATTTTAACGAACTTGATTGGGATGAAAAGGTTAGATTAGCAATGCAACTTGCAAGTGCCACATTATATTTACATGAAAATGATATCGTTCATTGCAACCTGGTAATAAATATATTTAAAAATCATTTATTATTAAATGTTAATTACTAATTACTTTAAATTTATATATTGTAGAATGCAGACAATACATTTATACATCAAAGAATTATTAAAATTGCTGGTATTTCAAAGAAAAATAATGGAAATTCAAAAATAACTGGACCTTATATAGATCCGAAAAGTTTTAATAATCAAGATTATAGTTTAAATAAAAAGTCTGATGTTTATAGTGTTGGAGTTTTGATGTGGCAAATTTCAGGCGGACGTCGACCATATTATGACGAAATAGAAAATAATATTATACAAGAAAGAAAAGAAGAGATTATTCCTGGTACTCCTCCTGAATATAGTAAATATATAAAGGTAAGGTAATAATCATATTAATTATATTTAACAAACCTGGAGTAATTTATCAATATATTCTAGAATGCTGGAAATATGAACCAGATGAACGTCCAAATATGCAGCAAATTTTTTTAAATCTTGATCAATTAACTTCTGCTCAATTACAATCTTCCGAAATAAATATAGAGTTTGATAATCTTCAAAATGATAATGCGAGTATATGGATAGAGAACGCCTTAAAAAATGAAAGAGTTAAATTTATACCATTTAAACAATTACAAGATTCTAAACCACTTGATAACGGGAATTTCGGATGTGTTATGAAAGCAACTTGGACTAAGACAGGAGATTTAGTTGCTTATAAAAAATTAACAAATTTAGCATCCATTAAAGGCAGTAAATTAGATGCTTTTATCCATGAATTACAAATCCATTTGCAACTTGATTATAGTGATCGAATTGTACGTTGCTTAGGTA